TATGTGTTAGTAATAGCTTCAAGATGTTGAGTTATGTGTGTTAGTAATAGCTTCAAGAGGTTGAGTTATATGTGTTAGTAATAGCTTCAAAAGGTTGAGTTATATGTGGTAGTAATAGCTGAAAGATGTTAAGTTATATTTCTTCAAGATGTTGAGTTATATTTCTTAGTAATAGCTTCAAGAGGTTGAGTTATATTTATTAGTAATAGCTTCAAGAGGTTGAGTTATATGCGTTAGTAATAGCTTCAAGAGGCTGAGTTATATTTATTAGTAATAGCTTCAAGAGGTTGAGTTATATTTATTAGTAATAGCTTCAAGAGGTTGAGTTATATGCGTTAGTAATAGCTTCAAGAGGTTGAGTTATATTTATTAGTAATAGTTTCAAGAGGTTGAGTTAAATTTATTAGTAATAGCTTCAAGAGGTTGAGTTATATGTGTTAGTAATAGCTTCAAGAGGTTGAGTTATATTTATTAGTAATAGGTTGAAGAGGTTGAGTTATATGTGTTAGTAACAGCTTCAAGATGTTGAGTTATATGTGTTAGTAATAGCTTCAAGAGGTTGAGTTATATGTGTGTTACTAATAGTTCAAGAGGTTGAGTTATATGTGTTAGTAATAGCTCAAAAGGTTGAGTTATATGCGTTAGTAATAGCTTCAAGAGGTTGAGTTATATTTATTAGTAATAGCTTCAAGAGGTTGAGTTAATTTATTAGTAATAGCTTCAAGAGGTTGAGTTATATGTATTAGTAATAGCTTCAAGAGGTTGAGTTATATGTGTTAGTAATAGCTTCAAATATAATACTATGTTTTTGTTGGGTTTAGGATTCTTCTACAGTAGGTGTCTATGACTTGTTGACAAATTCAAAGATACATAAAAAGCACGCACTTTACTTATTTTCAAAATACTATATATATATGTTTTCGGAACAAGTTAAACGTATGTAAAATAAATTCTTCACACTATAGAGATTATAGACATATCATAAACACTATTTATATATAGTTATTTTCTTTTTGTCAAAAAGTCCACTTAGGCCTATTCAGTTATTTTAAACTGTCAGTTGATCAGCCAAACTTTCTTCTCTGTTTCTATCGCACTAGCATTCTGTGTGTGATTCACAGACATTTGTGGTATGAGTTATCGTAATCGTTCCGTCTTCCGTCTTCTGAAGATCTTCTGTTCTTTTTGTCAAAGTACACATAGGCTGATTCAATTACTTTAGAACCACGCTTTGATGGAATAAATTATATTTCTTACTCCGTTTCTACTGCTAGTCTTACTCTAACATATTAAACGTTAGGTCTATCACTTCTACGGTAGTTTACTTCACGCCGGAACTTTCCTTTTGTAACTTTACTTTCTTCTGCTATTATCTACTTGCTGCTTCCGTTTGTCTCATGTTATATATATATCTCTATCACCTAATCGTCTGTCCGCCTTCTATATTTTCGACGTCAATGTATTGCACGCAACGTTCGATAGTATTGTTACGACAGCGGAAGTCACGTGATTGTGGTAACACGTCATGAGTTTCTAGAAGGATCATGACTTTTCCTGGCAACTCTAGTCTTTTCTAGGCGCCATCTATTTTAGTATATAAGCCCGGCAAATAATACGGAGATATAATTGCAGATAGACAGATATAGAGACAGATAATTGAGTCAAGCGAGCGGTAGTAACCGTAAGTAAAGTGCGTGAATCGTTGTGAATTATAGCGTGTGTTTAAGTTAAAGTAACTGTGGAAATTAAGTGTATTGAGAAAGAATAAACTAGTTTTATTTAAGAAAGAACTTGTATCGCTGAAGTTCTTCGGAAAGAATTTTTATGGGAAATTAACAAACGAACAGAGACGTACCAATATCAACATCAATAAATTATTAACAAATCTTCCAACTTCTAACTCTTATTATAGCAAAAACTAAATAATTATAAAATATTTACTCCCCAAAACAAATCAACCAATAACGTCTAAACTAAACAGTCTTTTATATCATGAAATATGTATTAATAATAGCTTCAAGAGGTTGAGTTATGTTTAGCAGTAACGGTGTCAAGTGATTGAATTATGTGCAGTCGTAATAGTGTGAAAAGTGGAGAATATATACGATATTGGTAAAATTTTGTAAGATCATTTTTAGTATTGATATAGTTTGCTTTAGTCAATACTTACTGATGCCTCTCATTGAAGCAAAACTTGCTATTATGATTAACTCTGAGTTAATTATATTTTACAGTTAAAATATCAAGTAGCCCTCCCTCTCTACAATATAAACAGCTTGATTGTGACGTCATTTAAAACAGCATCAGTACATAACTGAAAATTCACAGAAGAACGATAACTTTTTGTGATCATGAAAATCTGACTACAGTTTGCACAAGACAAACTCCACTAACGAATAATGTTTTTGACTTAATATGTAGTCACAACTCTTTTTAAAATTATATACAAAGTAGGTTTCTCCAATGTCTTCAAAGAATTTGTAGTGTTTAATTTGTGTTTTAAGGTGTGCCACAGGTGAAGCCTGGCAGGAAGTAATGCTAGCCTGCTCCAATCAACCAACAGTAATGTGCGACCCTCGATCTGAAACCCCTGGAACCTGTGGGAATAACTTTGCTTTGCCTTATTTTATCAGTTTCTATATACTATGTTCTTTTTTGGTAAGTTTCGTGTGATCTGTTTCACTGTTTTTAAATAAAATCCAGAACCTTTAAATTTTATTAAGATCAAGATAGGTCACTTCTTATGTGAATAAATATTATTTAGTAAAACTATTTGATCAGACTATAGAAACTAACATGTGGTTCGCTACATGGAGGAAGACTATAGAAACTAACACGAGGTTCGCTATATGGAGTCAGACCATAGAAACTAACCTGCAGTTCGCTACATTCAGTCAGACTATAGAAACTAACACGAAAGTTGCTACATGGAGTCAGACTATAGAAACTAAACATATGGTTCGCTACATGGAGTCAGACTATAGAATCTAACGTGAGTTTTGTTACATGGAGTCAGACTATAGAAACTAACATATAGTTCGCTACATGGAGTCAGACTATAGAATCTAACGTGAGTTTTGCTACATGGATTCAGACTATAGAAACTAACATATGGTTCGCTACATGGAGTAAGACTATAGAATCTAACGTGAGTTTTGCTACATGGATTCAGACTATAGAAACTAACATATGGTTCGCTACATGGAGTAAGACTATAGAAACTAACGTGAGTTTCGCTACATGGAGTCAGAATCCATGATAAGAAAAATATGGTTCTTTATTAACGACAAGTACAATATCACTTTCTTGAAAAGTGAACACCATGAAGATGACAAAAATATATCATAAGATGGTTTATTACTTGTCTAGTGAGAAATAGAAGATTTAGCGACTTTGAATCATCAAAGCGTACGACAGCGAAGGAAGACACTATCATTCTAAACCTAGTGCATAAGTAGTCTATCTTTGTAAATCTGGTAGATGAAACGTTCGTCTCTTTCAATAGTACTGGCATTCCACTAAAACATTGGAAACAAACTGTAAATTATTTATTAATTTGTATAAATAACATCTTCTGTGATCATTTCTCTTTTGTCTTCATTGAATTATAGAGTTTAATGGATTATGTGATATAAATCTTTCCAGCAGACTATGAATTATCTTGACAGGTTCTTAAATTTAGGACTAAGCTAACAGTTTTCGAACATTACCTCAACAGGTCATTAATCTATTTGTCGCTGTTATCATGGACAACTTTGACTATTTGACTCGGGATTGGTCAATCCTAGGCCCTCATCACCTAGACGAGTTTGTACGACTGTGGTCTGAATATGATCCTGATGCAAAGTAAGAGTTGTACTTATTAACAACAACCTAATGGTAAGATGTTTTTACAGGTAATAAGTCATTTGTTAAGCTCTCCTACTGATTACAGGAAGTATGAGACTTGGCAGTATAAAGCTACTACAGGTAATTAGTTACAAGTTGAGCTTAACTCGAATACAAATATTTATTATATGTATCTCGAAGCAAACACTATGCCCTGTACATTGTGAAACTCTAAAACTACACATTCTTAATTGATAAATATAACTTTACGTATTTATGATGGTTCATTACATTTCAATTCCATATTCTGTATGGTCAAGAAATATAACGATATTGCATGAACACCTCTCTCAAAAAGATTTTTCCAGGGTACGTGATGCATTTCCTTATAGTATGAGTATGGGATTGAAATCAGTTTTGCATTCAAACATGTTCACCGTTATGTGAAGTATTAGTGGTACTATTCCACAGGTCAGGATTACTGGAACCAGAAAATGGCAACACAAGAGACTGTAGGATATGTTCACCGCTATGTGTAGAATTAGTGGTACTATTCCACAGGTCAGGATTACTGGAACCAGAATATGGCAACACAAGAGACTGTAGGATATGTTCACCGCTATGTGTAGAATTAGTGGTACTATTCCACAGGTCAGGATTACTGGAACCAGAATATGGCAACACAAGAGACTGTAGGATATGTTCACCGCTATGTATAGAATTAGTGGTACTATTCCAGAGGTCAGGATTACTGGAACCAGAATATGGCAACACAAGAGACTGTAGGATATGTTCACCGCTATGTGAAGTATTAGTGGTACTATTCCACAGGTCAGGATTACTGGAACCAGAATATGGCAACACAAGAGACTGTAGGATATGTTCACCGCTATGTGATTAGGATTACTTGAACTAGAATGTGGCAACACATGAGACTGTGGGATATGTTCAATATAATGGGTGGTATTTTGTAGGATTTGTAAAGCAACATAAAACTGCCTGTTTCAGGACTACTTAGATTGTAAGTTTAATTCATGTACCGATATGACATGACACATAAGATAAATATATATAGTTTAAATATTTTTATGTTAATATGGAAAATGTGTTCTTTTTAGAACTGTATTGTAATTAAACTAATAATTGTATAAACTAAAGATATTTTAACTAGGTGTAAAGCAACTTTTCCAAAGTTCCTCATATATGTTGCAGACTTTAAACTTTGTGTCATAATACACAAGATAACAGTGTAGAAAAACCGTTGACAAAATGTAATAACTGTGATATTAAATTAACAAAAATAAGTTGATAGCAATAAACAGAGATGTGGACGGATATAAATATCTAGAATTTGAATGCAAGTCATGAAAAGAAAATCACTGAAATTGTGATATTCTATAAGATGCCATAACGAAAGATAAAAGTGGTAAGTTCTGCTATTTGTTTTTTATTTAGTTTGTATAATAGGAAATTTGAAATTAAAGTTTAGAGATGGCTTGAATGGGTGGTAGAAGAAACTTTATGTACAACGTTTCGACAAGGTATCTCTATTTTCTAAACTTTCTCTACAACGTTTCGACAAGGCATCTTTATTTTCTAAACTTTATGTACAACATTTCGAGAAAGTATCCTTATTTTCTAAATTTTATGTACAACGTTTTGACAAGGCATCTTTATTTTATAAACTTTATGTACAACATTTTGAGAAAGTATCTTTATTTTCTAAACTTTATGTACAACATTTCGAGAAAGTATCCTTATTTTCTAAATTTTATGTACAACGTTTTGACAAGGCATCTTTATTTTATAAACTTTATGTACAACATTTTGAGAAAGTATCTTTATTTTATAAACTTTATGTACAACATTTTGAGAAAGTATCTTTATTTTATAAACTTTATGTACAACATTTCGAGAAAGTATCTTTATTTTATAAACTTTATGTACAACATTTCGAGAAAGCATCTTTATTTTATAAACTTTATGTACAACGTTTCGAGAAGGCATCCTTATTTTCTAAACTTTATGTACAACGTTTTGACAAAGCATCTTTATTTTATAAACTTTATGTACAACATTTCGAGAAAGTATCTTTATTTTATAAACTTTATGTACAACATTTTCAGAAAGTATCTTTATTTTCTAAACTTTATGTACAACGTTTCGAGAAGGTATCCTTATTTTCTAAATTTTATGTACAACGTTTTGACAAGGCATCTTTATTTTATAAACTTTATGTACAACATTTCGAGAAAGTATCTTTATTTTATAAACTTTATGTACAACATTTTGAGAAAGTATCTTTATTTTATAAACTTTATGTACAACGTTTCGAGAAGGTATTCTTATTTTCTAAACTTTATGTACAACGTTTCGACAAGGTATCTTTATTTTCTAAACTTTATGTACAACGTTTCGACACAGCATCTTTATTTTCTAAAAGGTAGGTTCCTCGTAATCAAATTTAAAATCTGAAAAGTTTACTAAAACCATTGGATTTGTCATACAATAGGTGATTCGTTTAGAATGAATAATACACTGGAGAACAAAAAATATCCATGCTACTAGAACAATGCAACTGTTTCTGAGTAATTCCACGCGACTGATTCTAAAAATCAGGATGAAAATTATTTATCACCTTTAATTTTTGAGTTTATAAATATATAGATACATACCATGAAAATAACAACTTTTTCTTTATTAATCTTACTCATTTATTGAAAATTCCATTTAATTACGAATGTATAATCTGCATGCTTTGATGAGTATTTTTCATGTTCACAGCATAAGCAACAGGAATCAATGGCTTAATGTTCCCGTTGTACAAAAGTACTGCTTTTAGACTGACTTTGAAACTAGTGTATGTGTTGTTAAAACTAGTATATGATGATGATAATAGCTCTATAGATTAAATGTGTTGTTAAAACTAGTATATGATGATGATAATAGATATATGGATAAAATGTGTTGTTAAAACTGCTATATGATGATGATAATAGATATATAGATTAAATGTGTTGTTAAAACTAGTATTTGATGATGATAATAGATATATGTATAAAATGTGTTGTTAAAACTGCTATATGATGATGATAATAGATATATAGATAAAATGTGTTGTTAAAACTGCTATATGATGATGATAATAGATATATAGATGAAATGAATTGTTAACACTAGTACATGATGATGATAATAGATCTATAGTTGAAATGTGTTGTTAAAACTAGTATATGATCATGATAATAGATCTATAGATTAAATGAGTTGTTAACACAGTTTGGAATTATATATACTTCCTTATGGTACACTTAACTTTATGCTCCTATGAACACAGTTCGGAACCATATATACTACCTTATGGTATACTTAACTATATGCCACTATGAACACAATTTGGAACTATATATACTTCATTGTGGTACACTTGACTATACGCCCCTATTAACACATCTTGAAACTAACTACTCCCTAGCGGTACACTTAACTATATGCCCCTATTAACACAATTTGGAACTATAAGCTTTATGGCGTTACGCTTTGGAACTACGAAACCCCTCAATGGGTAGTATCCTTTGATATATATTCATCTACTACCACATCTTCTCTTCATAAACACAATGCTGAGGCTCTTTTGTGCCGATGAAAGTGAGCTCTAGCTAATTATGTATACCAGGTCACGTGACTGATCATCAGGAGCCTATGTATAACACAGTGATGGCTATAACATTACAGATTACGATAGCGTGCCTTCTTTTATCAAAACAAGCAACAAGGTTTCTATTTCCTTTAATAATGAAATATGTGTTTTCCAGAGGTCGAATCAAGCATCTTGATGTGGTAACTTTGTTACGGAAGATTTCGCCCCCCCTGGGATTTGGTAAACTCTGTCCTCACCGAGTAGCGTGTAAGGTAAGATGATGAATATTACAGCTATTGTTGAATAAAGTATAAGATTTCATACAGGATTGGAGTCCAGATTATGTCTATAGAAAAGATATACAGGATTGAAGTCCTAATTATATCTCTAGGAAAGATATACAGGATTAAAATCCTGATTATGTCTCTAGAAAAGATATACAGGATTGAAGTCCTGATGATATCTCTACGAAAGATATACAGGATTAATATCCTGATTATGTCTCTACAAAAGATATACAGAATTAAAGTCCTGATTATATCTCTAGGAAAGATATACAGGATTAATATCCTGATTATGTCTCTAAGAAAGACATACAGGATTGAAGTCCTGATTATATTTCTACGAAAAATATACAGGATTAATATCTTGATTATATCTTTACGAAGGATATACAGGATTAAATCCTGATTATATTTCTACGAAACATATAAGAATTGAAGTCCCGATTATGTCTCTATGAAATATATACAGGATTGAAGTCCTTATTATATCTCTAGGAAAGATATACAGGATTGAAGTCCTGATTATGTAAGTTTATATTATAAGTTTTACTTATACCTGTTTGAAAGTGTTT